TGACAAGAGAAAGGTAAAAAAAAAAATGGTAACTGGTATTACGATATGTTCATGCACAGAGCTAACAGCCTTACTGTGATTTTTAAAAAGATCTCAGCTAAAGTCAGGTTGCTGGATAATGGAATAGGGATAAAATATCCAAGAGACTGAGAAAAACAAAAAACAAAAAAAAAACAAAAACAAAACAGAACACTGGTAATTTTCGAAGTATTATAACCTGTTCGTGGAACCAATTAGCTTGCTGCAAGTAAAAAAGAATTCAGAGATATAGGTATTGTTTAACTCAAATTGTAATGCAGTGGCATTCCAATTAATTAACGTATTATGACGAAAATATTGAATTCGGATGAACAAGTACATTGTGGGAAAATGCAGAAGCATATTTGTTATGTATAATGAAGGCATCTAACAGACTGAGAACTGATGATGTCCCAGTTAGACTTAGAGGAATTCAGAAAACGGGGATGTTGCACGGTTTCTGGGTTGTTTCTGAGGAGGCATATATACCCAAGCCTCCACACCAAAGTTTATTCCAAGCACCAAGAGCAATTTCGATTTTCCAAAAAATATAATGATATGTAGAAGTAATTCAGGGTGGATCAGGTCCGTCGGCTCGGTTTTATAAGCCCTTGCTTGGAAAACCCTTAGAGTGCTTCCGCTATGTTCTGGTAAGTTCAGAAACATTTAGTTCCCCTCAGTCAATGGTTTTATGGCTAAGTGGCGGTCAGTTATGATGCTAACACCACAATTTACCGATTATTTTTTTAATATTCTAATTAATCTTAACAGATGAGTCTTCTCATAGTAAAGACTTCTAATAAATAACCACTTGAGTTATCAAAACGAACGTAACTGCGGCATTGTGCAATATCGATAATGGACGATTATCGCAAAACTTACGAGTTATCGGCGATATTTTCTCGTTATCTCCGTTAAGAAAATATGTCACGGCCGCTAAGTGATATTTTTATCCTAGATACGCAATATTTCACTGCAGACTAACGATGGATAATTTTTCTCCAAAAAAATTGTTAAGTTAAATAGTTCCTTCCAACTAACAAACAGTAAACACCGCAGCATACACTATCGAGTGATAAATGCACGCGGGAGGTTAGCTTATTGAGTGCTTAACAAACCACCTAAGTGCATCCATAACTCAAAAGTGTACGCTGTGGTGTTTACCATTTGTTTTAAAACATAACATTGATACATTTTAGCAAAATGGTTCCCTTTTATTTAAAAAATCTTAAGTGACCAGAAAGAAGAAGCGCGCCAAAACTAGTTTTTGCCTTTGCTCACGTCACGTTGTCTTATCACGAACACCCATGGGCAAATGGTGGATTCTGAATTCACCAATCTGAGCACGCGCTTTACTTTGCTTATGTTTTAAACACCTGTCTATGTCCTTCCAATCTCTGTATAACTAATTTTCTTAACCATTGCAGCATTGCTAAATTCAAGGCAGATGCCTAGCACTGTATTTCTTTCACTTTAAATCCTTGATCCCTCTGGTTAAGGCTACAGGTCCCCAGCGCGAAAAAAAAGTTCGTTGGTATTACTTAGGATTATTAAAAATACTTAATAATTCTATCATAATTTCGGACGAAAAATGTAATAGTCAATTCGTGCCGAGGATACCCAATACCATGTATCTTAATTATCAGGCGCACCATGATCAGCAAGTTTAGCGGGTCGTATTTCTTTGTATGACCCGCTTTATTTAAAAGCCTGTTTCAATTTAAATCTTGCCTCTTAATTCGAACCCAGAGATGTAAAAAATATCGTAATAATCCGTCCTGCTTGAGCCTTAAATCGGTCTGGAAAATACGAAGTTTCGTAACTTCCAAAAACGACCGATAAAATGATGTTAGTAAGATATTTATTTCTTACCTGGGTTCAGATAGAGCGGGAGGATATCAATCCAAATAAACTATTTAATTTAGCAGGCCGTACAAGGAAATCCGGGTTCTGTTTCTCGAAAGTCCCGATAACTAAACGGGCCCGAAGCCATGTTTTAAAATCAAACTATAAAGGATAGAAAAGCAGGTCCTAGCATCCAAATTAGTTCATTTTGTTTCTTTAGCTGATAATTTTATTGCATTATTCTTAAACCTTTCGAAATCCCCATCATGAATGAAAACAGAACAGCTTTGCGGGTCCGTGAAGTAACCGTGACTTTGGAGAAACGGACCCCAGGTCCGCTAAACTGACCAGTCATAGCACAAGTACTAACTGGCTGATATGATAGTAGGTTTTACATTTGCACACAGTCTGAAAAAAAAATGTGAGGTTAGATTTATCAAAAGAGATCATCCTCTCCACCAAAGAGACGCCATTTTTCGAATATCTCAAATTGGAAACAATATATCAAACTCAATATATCAAAATGTTCGTTACAGAAGACAGAGGGACTTCGCAATTACTTATCTAGAGTCAAATCTCCGAAATTATCTACCTAGAATCGATTCTACGCATTATAACCTCATAGGGAAATCCTCTGTAACTGCCTAAGAACAATACTGCCACTCTATGAGTACTTATGTAAATAGATTACTAGTCTTTCAATATAATTTAGCATTAGAGTGGAAGGGAGGGGGGTGGGGCTCCTGCATCTTTTATACTTTGTACGCTACATGTTTTAATTTGTAACATAGGAAAGGTATTTTTATCCTGTGAACGAATTAAGACATAATATTATTGATCATATCAATTGATCCGCTCACTCTGTTTGTGGCATCATGGGGTGCAATTTAAGGGATTCGCTGTAGAGAGGGAGGGGAGGGTGATTGGAGTAGTGTATGACTAACCCTCTTGAAGAGAAGAAATGATACTTAGTTAGGATGATACAAAAATCTACCGCGCAAAGAAATGCTAGGAAGAAAACTCTTAGAAAATTTTGTGTAAGCTATTACATTGTGACATATAATGTCTGGATATTTTAGATTTGAAGATCTTCCAAAGGAACTCGATCAGAATTGAATAGCATTGTACAGCACACTCTGAATAACCCAGTCCAAGCAAGATACATTTGATTTTATCCTGTCAGCTTTTCGACATTCCCTTGTAGGAGGGTTGAAGTGTTTTTTCAGTAAATACGGAAACATCAAAGGTGACTTTCACTGCATAAAATGATCGCGTCAATGATCTATAGAATATATTTGTTCCAATTTCCGAATTTCACCAGTGATTTGCTAAAACTTGGGTGCTTTTTACAGGAGTAAGTCTTGTATTTCTAACACTATTCATTGTAACAGTTTTGAAAACCAGTTAAATTATTGTAAAAGGGTACAACATTATACCCTGCGAGTAGAGCCTTTTTAACCCGTTCTCGAATCGAGAAGGGAAAAAGGCTCTGCCGACATTCTGTTGTTGCTTGTTTGAACATGCGCGGTGGTTGCCTAGAAACTGATCCTTTTCCACGCCTCCTTGCGTTTGTGGGCGCAGATTTGGTCATCTGTTTACATGAAAAACAAAGGCGTACGCACCAAAACCGGTTTGACTAGATGCAAAACCGGCTTGAGCAGCCCGGAGTTTTGGGCTCTCGGCACTTTAAAGCAGCAACAGGATGTCGGCAGAGCCTTTTCCCTTGAAGGGTTAAAAAGAAGAAAAGAAGAAAAGGCTCTGTTCTCAGGGTTACAACATTTAGTTACTTAACGTAGACGCATGATTGTGCACGTGTAATTCACTAGAAACATTAAGACTATCCAAACAAACGAAAGCTATTTTGTGTGACAATTAAGCCTCCGATATCCGGATTCGTGAAGACTGGGCTTGATAGCCCGGATAATCGAGAATCGGATTGGCATAAATATGAATATGAACAAGTCAGAAGTAAACTAGATATGTATCATCTGATCAGTACAACACACGAATTAAAGCAAATTCTCAAATAATTGAATGTCACTGTTAAAGTTTGCCAAAAGTAATTTAAAAAGGGTTATTAGACATACCAACGTTTCACATCGACATAAAATGCGCCGTTAATTCTACTATTCAGTTCGGGTTCAGTAATTTTATTAATGAGACGTGTGAATCAAAGATATTGGGAGTAAATATACCACCACATCTCTCGTTGATATGCACGTAGAATAGTGGCGAGAGAGGTCTTTAAGGTTTAGGCCGGAAATCATTGTAACAACAGTTCATTTACATAAGGTCTATGAAGGTCTTTACAAGGTTTCATCAACACTCCTTCTTTTTGTTTGAGAATTCTCTTTTCCCAATAGCATCTTTTTAATAATCTTGCAACTAAGATGTTGTCTCGTAAAATACTTCCAGATCGGTCGGGGTAAATAATGTACTCCCTGCAAAGAATACGCACTTGGTGAACGCCGTGTAACCAGTAGGGACAGTGTAAGTAGACCCACATGTGGTGAATGAATTTTGAAGGTTTCCAGCGTTATTTGGTAGGTAGATGTCATGTCGTCCTTGATAGCCCCCAAACGTTGTTCCAAAACTACTACAGCGGTAGATTGCATATCCTTGATATCGGTACTGAGCCAACTTTACAGGTTTATAACCATGCACGTTGTAGAGCGAGAAAATAAAGGCTTTAGCCGCGGATGTGTACCCACAAGAACCTGCATCCAGAGAGATTGATCAGAAGAATGTCTACGGAGTATAATCGCTTCGAGAGTAAATCGCTATGGACGTTGTAAAGTTCTTTGAATTTTACACTAAGAATTTATGCTGTATTTCTTTTCTAAACAGTTTCTGACGAAACTGTAGTGCTGCGTCCATGGGGGATATTATTCTGTGTTTTCACTCAAGTGGCCATTTTCTTAGCAACCGTTGCTATCCGCCATATCGGTAGACAACCTACACGTAGCTGTGAGCATAATACAAACGCGTCCGAGCAAATTCTATCGTTTACATCTGATTTATATTACTATGGTTTTCTGTTTAATGGTCAATTGCCACTCTAGGAGTATTCGACATAAAAGAATTTCTTTAAAAAACGAAGGAGAGACGGCAGAGGAGCTTTCAATCGAGAGAAGGCGGAAATGGCTTGCCGCCATTAGCCATGATGGGTTGACAAAAGTAATTCTATGTAATGGTAGATTTTGTAGCCGTCACTTCGTAACAGGAAAAGCAGCAGCTGCGTATGACAAGTTTAACATCGACTGGGTGCCTACACTGAATTTAGGACACAAAAAACGGCCTATAAACGAACAAGAGAGCGAACTGCAAGCAGCACGACGCGAACTACCTAAGGCGCGAGGTAAAAGACGACATGAAATAGCGCTCCTTGAATCGTCACTTAACTAGTCGCTCTGAGTAGCTGAGCTTTAATTAGATAGTCAATGTTATATATATCTGGTATAGCTGCAATGTTTCTACTTTTCAGTATAAATTGATTGGCATATGTGGGTTTCAATGAAAGTATCACAGGCTTTTTTGCGGTGTTGTTTATTATATCGAAAAATGTGTTCACTTCCCTTTCGGTAGGAGTAACGTTGGAAAACGGTGACTTTGACTTACTTGAAACATTGTTTACAGAAGCACCATCGATTCTATTATCCAATTATTGTTTTAGTTTACTTGCTGACTTAAAGTTTATGTCCTCAATAGCAGCGTATGTGACCTCATCAACATCATTCGGGATCAACCAAGTACATTTGACTTAAATGCACGACAACTTGCCATGAATGCGATTCCATGCCTCAATATAAAATAAAACACTCCCTACATGCGAAAAAATGCAACATTCGGAAAGTCCAGCTTTAAAACCTAAACAATGAGCTAAAGCAATCGTTCCCTCCATATTTACAATAATCCATATCAACAAAGGCGACTCATTCATTCGTTGTGAATGTCGCACCTTTCCGAGCACGACAAACATCTTGGCGATATCGTATCCCTGTACGCATATAATAAATCCTGAAACAATTTGGTTATAGCTCTCTAAACTTTTGTAAGCCTTGAACTACTTTAATGTATAAAAGCTAGTCTCCAATACGAGATAAGACACAAGATCGGAAGCTTCGATCGGAGGGAGACATTGTGAGTATAGCCTCTCATCTTGTAAATACGCCGGGTCTACTCCAACAGTCGAGATTTTTTGTAAATATCTTGCTTTTATATGACCATCTAAACTCTGCATACTCAGATAAGACTATTTTTGATTTTGCTTTGGATATTTCGTTGTTTTTCTCAATTCTAGGGTCGCTATCGCAATTAAAATCGTTTGAGATATCATTACTTGTGAATAAATACAACGCACGTGTGCAACTTGCCATATGTAAATGAGCTTTCTGTCCACCAATATGGCGGACAGTATTTTTAACTAGGCTTATGACGTCACGTGAAAACACAGAATAGGATAATTTGATTTTCTCAGCATAGTTGATATTGTAAATTTGCCACTTTGACTTGAAGAGTTTGAAAACCCTACGTTTCGAGCGTTAGCTCTTTGTTAGGTTAAAGTGTCTACAAAAGAGTGCTGCGCCCTTTGAAAATGTTTCAAAACGTAATGAGTTCTTATGCACTTGCTTTAGTCGCAGTTTTAAAACCTCTTCGTTATAAGAAATTCTGACAAAAGATCCAGCGAGTTTAGTTACCAACCAACATTCCTGATCTCGTAAATATCTGACACGACTTGAGTATGCCGGCAGTCCTACTTGAAATATTTCTTATAAATTCTAATATTATTGCCAAAACCCCAGTTAAAAAAAAAAAAAAAAATAAAATAAAATTCGTACTTTGCCAGGACACGTCGGTGTATCCACCAAATTTGTAATTACCGACTTGAATAATGGAAACAGTGGGTCCCTTCCCATCACATTTTAAATGGAAGGTTGATGAAGCCCAGCCGTCTGTCTTGGCGTGATAACATCTGATGAATTTACTCGAGGAAGAGTCTGTCAGGACTGGGTCCAGGTAAGACGAAAGAGTGCCAATGTAGTATTTTGGCGAGTTTCCTAGAATGCTCGACGATGCGAGGCCACCTGTTGGTATAAAACCACGTTATGATCCGACTGCACTAAGTCTACTTAGCAACCCTCCCTTATGTAAAGTATGAAGTGGGGGAGGACAAAAGTCTCTTTTCTCCGTCTTTTTTCGCATTCACATTCAAATAAGCTGTACATATCTGATTAGCAGAAACTTTTAGAGCCGTTTATTTACACAAGGTCCAAGCCAAACCACTGCTTTACGCAGTCAGTGGGCATTAGGCCTTCTCTACAAGAGGATTGATTTGATGTGATAGATGGCCTTCAACTGTAAACTTTCGGCCCTCCTGACACTGTTCTTAAGAATAGATATTCTAATAGAAGGTGCAGCTAGTTAAATTGCAGATTGTTAGGCGCGGCTTTGTTAAACAAAGGCTAAACTATGTTAGAACCAGCCCATAAAGGTTTTATTTTGATCTCAAATGGGAGGAATATAAAATATTAAACACTCTGTATTAAAGCATCAATTTCCTCCTTCTGCTATCTTTGAGCAGGCGACATTTAACTGCTAACTTGTGTAGGACTAACTATGAAAATAAACGAAAGCTTAAAGAAAAAAATTGGTGAGAAGATCCAGAGATAATTTTTTTCTCGTAAAATCTATGATCTAGACCAGCGAAATTAGCAAAGCGGTGGTCCATTTCGCTTAAAGTTTCTGCTGGAAAGTCTACTGCTATTTAAAGGACACTTACGGTCACTGGTGCAAATATAGGAACCCACTGTATTGCTGCAGTAGCTGTTGGCTTCACAATAGTATAAGTCGTACTCACACTCGTCAACATCTAGAAAGAAGTAAATTTTCAAAGCAAAAACAAACAAACAAACCAACAAACAAAAGGCTTGTCCTATCATCATTTTGAAAGCTGGTATCTACAAGCGTGCCGAGACGACGAGGACTTGTGCAAGTAAGTAAACAAAATTGCAACTGCTATCCAATTCCCTACAAATGGAGTTACCGGCATCACAGGACTTAGAGAAATAGAATAGTCCTTTCTGAAGAGATATTTAGTTTTTTTCAAAAGGAGAAGTCGAAGAAAATAAGCTTTAGTTACGCCATTGTAGGTTGTCTAAAGACGATAAGTTACCTTCTGTTTTCATGTCACAATAAGCAAGTTTAGCTGTTTCCGTCCATGGATTATAATACCAGTATTTCTCACTAACTGCTTGCTCTCCCTCACTCAACTTGATTTCTTTGCAGTTTTTAACAGGTAGTTCAGGAATAGAACCAAGAGCAGCTGTGTACAGATTATTGAGTTAAAGACACCTCTTTGACATTCATGGGTGTTACTGGGTATTTTTTCTTTAGTTGGATGTCCAGGGTCGTTGGCTGGAAAATATTTCTCTATCTTTCTATCCAAATAAAAGGATCCAAATGGGATGATGGCTCTTACTGCTGATGGTTAAAATTTTTACCATTTTACGTCTAATAGTAAGGGTTATACTGAAAGTTAGAATTTTACAATTTTTACACTTTATGGCTTTTTTTTTTGTCGTTTTACAGCTAATGGTTTACCAAATGGAGACCCTCATATGATAAACTTCAATTTGCATCATGTGAAGTTCAAGGATTGTGATTGTATGTCCAAACGTGTTATTGTCGTAGGCTATTACTTTTGTGTAACTCTCGTTACTTTTTTACGAGAGGAATCCTATAGCCTACATAAGTCACACTGTTT